GGCAAGGGAGCTCACTTGAGCCTTTTTGTAAGGACACTAATCCCATTCACAAAGGGGGAACCCCCATGATTAGTCACTTTCCAAAGGCCCACCTCCCAACATATCACATTTGACATTAGGTTCTAACATATAAATTTTGGGGAAACACCAACACTTGGAACCTAGCAAGGAATGATTTTCTCTTCTCAACACATCAGCACTGAGCATGGCCCAATGACCTGCCTCAGCCAATGGAATGGGGGCCAGTTTTGGACAGAGCACTGCAAGATTCCAACAGCCCTCTTAAGCTCCTGCCTTCCCCATTGAGAGCTCACATCCCAGATGGTGGGTGTGACTTCAGCCTGGGTCCTGGAATGGGAAGACGTGTGGGCCACATCGTAAGTCAGTTCAGGCTCCCACAGGTCTTATTCACTGTTCCCTAGATTCCAGAGCAAGAAAAAAAAAAAAGATTGTTTCAATAAGCCACTAAAATCTTGTGATTATTTGTTATGTAGCAATAATCCAGAAAAATCTGACTAAAACATATGTGTAACAAGGTGATGATGGCATACTGGCGTGAAAAGGGGGAAAATAACATGAGATGTGGAGTCCGTTGCACTGGAGTTCAAATCTCAGCTCTGACAACTACCAGATGTGTGACCCTGACTGGGCAAGCCTCAGTACACCCTAACTTGTTGAACTATTGTGACAATTAGAAACAGTACCAAAACAGTACCTGGCACTCAATAGATACTTAATGAAAGGAAGAAGTATTAATTTATATTAATGGGTAGCAAAATATCTTCACAATTTCCATGATTAAAGTGCTTTATTGGAAATTGTTCATCTCAATTAAATATTTCTTTAATTAACCTCAGGTAAATAACATGGTGAAATCATAGTTCAAGTTTGGAGCTTACAAAAGAATCTAATAGAAAATTACAGTTTAAAATATACACTGTGCTCTTTCCAAAACCTCTGAGTAGTCAAGAGTATGAATCTCTGTTGTGTCAAAGAATAAGAATGCATTCTTTGTGAAGAAAAAATGATTAAATTGCATCTTCCACACTAGTGATTTAAACTGTGATCAAATCTACTGTAGTTGGAGGCCCCCAGTTAATCCATTTACTGTGAACATTATTAAACATTTATTAAATACCCATGCATGATAAAGAATTTCAAGATATGGTTTTGTTCGCTGATCTCCAAGAAAGTCAAGAGCATAAAACTACTAAATGCATCAACTAATCCCAGTATACACGCTCTTACAAAACATAAGCACTACAATTACTGAAGCACAAAAATAGATTTTTGATCTGTTGGGAAGGCATTCAGAAATACATCACCACTAATGAATAATAAGAGAATTATTTGGGTTGTGAAATTTGACTAGAAGTTTATCTAAGACATGATCTCAAGTCTCTTCTTTTCAAAAGAGTAAGGAAAAATACAAAAAATACATAGTCTAGTAACCACTCTTTTAGGTGCTCAGGCAAATTAGGGGCAGTGTTTCCAAACCACATGCAGAAGAAATGCTTTAAATGAAGATTCTTGGGCTACCCACCCCAGACCCAACTCATCAGAATCATTGGAAATTTGGCCTGGAAATCTGCATTATTAAGAAACTCTCCAGGTGATTCATGTGCATTCCAAGTTCGAGAACCACTAACCAATTCAAGTATTAGGCAACTTTTCCCAGAAGACCTAAAGATCTGAAAAATCGTAACGAGTTTAGCCATGTTATGCCTACAGGTCAACAGAATCTGGCCCTCAGACTCAGGAACTGCTGTGGGAGTGAATAGCCATTCGTCCTGCCAGCAGCTCAAATCATGGTTCTTTTGCTCTTGGAGGAAAAGAGTGGTTGGGCCATTCAACAGTAGCATGAACCCGACGGCACCATAGTGATGACTTCCCCTGCAGGACAAACAATTGCCAAACTTATCCTCAGCCCTAGCAGTCCCTGGACACAAGTTCAGACAACCATTTCTCATCAGTTTCTTGGGCTTGGGTTCTAAAATCCAAAAGTAATGAGAGGGAAGGAAGGAAGATAGTTGAGAATATTAGTATATGGACACTCTGATCTTCAGAAAAAAATCTCCACAAGTCTACATTTTTCCCCAATATTATAGAGAAAAACCTAGTTGTATTTTCCAAGAGGAAAGAATAGGACAAAATTATAAGTGAGGAAGAATATTGCTAGTTGCTTTTAAAATTTTAAAAACACTCTGAAAAAAATAAATCAAAAACACATAATGAATATAAGAGAAAGAGAAATGAGTTTAGATATCAGTTAGAAACAAGATGAGGGCTCTAGACCCAGCTTATGCCCTCTAATGGACATGTGACCTTATACAGCTCACTTAGCTACTCTTTAACCCAAAAGAGTTCAGGTTCACAGAAAAAGGATTTTCAAGACCCAAAGCATTGTCGAAATGTAAGTAGTATTATTATCATCAATGACAAAAAATTTACATATAATCTAGAATATAATAGTACAAATGCAGATCACTGAGGTGTATTTTTGTGTTTTGTTTTGTTGTTTTTGTTGAGTTGTTTTTTGGCAGAGGCAAAGAATATCAATCTCTCAGAGTCAAGAATTATAAGGGCAGCTTTATCATTTAATAATTTTCTAAATTAACATCCAAGGTAAAAACAATATAACATCGTAGGCCACTCTCATGGAATTGTTCCTGCTTTCCCCTGCATGTTGCAAGATGGAGATGCAACTTCCTGATACATACAACTCAATGTTGCTTGAGGTAGTCAGCTTGTTAGCAGTGGTGAATGATTCAGCTGGACGTTTTCCTATTAACTACCTATCCTGATCTACCTGAGTCACAAAGCTAAGCTCCATCTCTGTAAAGTCACACAAACAATAGGACTTTAAAGAAAACAGGCAGCAAAAAAACCCCCCAAAACAAAAAAACAAAAGTTTATAGCCAGGCATGGTGGCATGCATCTGTAGTTCCAGCTACTTGGAAGGCTGAAGCAGAAGGATTGCCTGAGCCCACCAGGTCGAGACTGCAGTGGCCGTGAGTGTGCCACTGCACTCCAGCCTGGGCAACAAGAGTGAGACACCAACTAAAAAAAAAAAGAAAGAAAAAGAAAAGAAAACAGGCAGTCCAGGCTCAGTGGCTCAGTCTATTATCCCAGCACTTTGGAGGCCAAGGCGAGTGAATTGCCGGAGCCTGTGGGTTCGAGACCAACCTGAGCAACTTGGTGAGACCTCATCTCTACAATTAAAAAAATAAAAATTAAGCCGGGCTCGGTGGCTCAGCCTGTAATCCTGCACCTTGGGAGGTTGAGGTGAGTGGACTGCCTGAGCCCGCGGGTTCAAGACCCGCCTGGGCAACTTGGCGAGACCTCATC